CCAATAGTGTTTGGCGACGGGTGCAACCCGTCACCAAATATTTCCGTCGACAATGTACATCCGTCACCAATGCGTATTGGTAACTGGTTTCCCTGTCGCCAATACATATTGGCGACGGATTTATTGGCTACAGATCCTATACCGTCGCCAATGTGTATTGGTGACAGATTGTGGGGTATTGGTGACGGATTTCCCCGTCGCCAATACCCAGTTTTTTACTAGTGCACCTATAGCTCACAATTTGCATTTTGTGGTAGAAAAATATCATAAGTTATTAAAAATGACACATTAGTACCCTCGAGCATGCCCACTTGAAAAGTTTCACCCCAACGTTCTCATGACACTAACATATTAATTTTATACCTTTCTAACAATTAATATCTATTAAATTTATTATTAGACATGTCCCACTTCTATTTCAAAGTAGAATTAAGATAAGTATGAAAAAGAATTTGGTCTATTTAGTATCAAATTTAAGAAATATAATATCAAGTTTAAAAAAAATTAGTGGTTAAAAAGCTTTATAATTAGCATGTAAGTATCATAGAAAAATATTCGGATGAAAATTTTCGCGTTTGCATAATTGATGGTACTAACATGCTAATTTTTTAAACAACTTATGGTACTTTTTCGCTGCAAAGTATAACTTGTGACGTATAAATAATAGAGTGAAGAAATTTTGTGATATCTGAATGCAGTTTAGCCTTTTTTTTAATAATTGAACATGATATGTTCTAGCGAATGTAGATATATGTGGCGAGTGGACCGGCCCAACAGTTGTCGGACCCATGCGTTCAAGTATAAATCTGGCTAGACCGGCTTATAGCCTGGCCCAAATTGGTCGGTCTTAATCCAGTTCCATTCCGACCTTTGACCATTTTTATAATTTAAATTTTATTGTGTAATATTTCATTCGTAACTCAAAATTTTAAATATGAAAAATGGGCACAGAGGCAACATGTATTGGAAAACAATTATTGAACATTTATACCTGGTATTTAATGGATATGTAATATGTAATTGTCTAAATAATAACGAAGTTATATTGTTGAAAATATCTATATAAATTATACCTAGAAACCAACCAAAGAAATTAACAATCTCTAATTCCCTCAAAAAATGCATTTCAAATTTGAGTACGATACGTTACTTTCAGCTTGCCGTAGGAGGAAAGTTGACCAAGGAGAAGGGACTTGACGATTATTACGAGAAATCAACGCATTTAATGTGAAAAGATTAGCAAGTATTACGTTTAAATTTTCAAAATATACCTATTTCCTTGAACACAGTCCCCAAAAAAGACCTAGAAACACAATTGGAAAGAATTACAAAGACACCTTCCTCTCGTGAACTCCTCCGGCGAGTATATCGGAGGCCCGTTGAATTAAAAACACTGACGAAAATACCCTTTCCCAGGATCAGTCCTTTTTTCCAGATGTGATGTTTCTAATTTTAGGGGCTGTTTGGTTGCACACTTTTTGAGAAAACTTTTCTCAAAACATCTGACAATGGTAAATTTGTAATTAAAAGTTTTTCAAAGATTTCTGTAAATTGTGTTTGGTTCAACAAAAAATTTACAGAAATATTTTCTATAAAATATCAAAACCTACCAAATTTTACAAAAAGCAATTTCCTCTCAAAATGAGAGGAAATCACCAGAAATGTGACACATACCATATTTAATTAAAAACCTACCAAATCTTATTATTTTTTATAAAGTTATGAGCTATTTTCTTGTTTTGAACCAAACTAGCAAAGTACAAAAAACAAGAAAATTGGTACTTTTTTATTTCTCAAAACTTTTCCTATAATTTTTTTAAGAAATATAAGGAAATCATATTTTAGGTGGAAAACATTTCCTATAATTTCTAGAAATTGAACCAAACACCCTTATAATCAAATCTCTAATGCATTTTGAGATATAGGAGTTTATTAAAAAAAAAGTTTTGTGCCTCTTGAGCCTGCACGTGCACATGCGATAATGCTAGTAGACTGAGAAATATTTTCCAAGCGGTTACGTTTACTCGGATTAGCATGAATTTGTCATCATGGTGTCCGAAACCTATCATCACGGGCACTAAACTGCTCTTCTCTGCAAATTAATAGATTGGAAAATGAGCTGATTGTTCTAGAATTTGTTTTAATTCTAATTATGGCAACATATTGATTGATCAAATACATACGTACCTACTATGAGCTGGTTTGTGTCTATTCGAGGTATCCTTACTAAATCAATCCCACAACTAACAATTAATTGCTATAATAAAGGTAATCAAATTTCAATCTCCGACTTTCTTAAAATAATACCGAAAGCGATAGTCGTTAGTTTCCCCCGATTACTTAATTTCTTAATAAATATGGATGCGTCACGTGCGTAACAAATCGACGGGTAGGAACAGGGCACGTGTGTCCCCCCGTTAATGCAACTCCTCAATTATTCCGTAACGGGGCATTCCCGTATCAATCGTCATCTTCATGATTGCCTAAAAGCCCAACACGATGGCAATAATTACGAAACGCCCACGCTCTATAAGAAGAATCCTCCATCTCATCTCGCAGAGAAAAAACGAGAGAATTTATTTTGAAGACCTAATCTCGCGGGAGGCACGAATCTCAAAGCCGCGGGAGTTCTTTGGGCGCCTTTTCGCCGTGCAAAGGTGAGTGAGATCGCGCGAGGATCGATGAGTGGTCCGAGTCAACTAAACCCTAGCTGGCTAGGTCGAGTTTTGTTGTTTTTATGCGGTGCATGATCGCTGTGCTTCGTTTTGGTTGCAGGCTGAGAGCTAGGGTTTCGGAAGGCGGGAGGTTAAGTTTCGGCTGTTTGTCAGCGATGGTAGTTTTTTGTGGAAGGGTTAAGCTACCGCTGATGGCTGCGTCCTTTCTTGTCCTGCTCCTCTTCGTCGTCCTCTTTTCTTCTCCTGGTACGTTCTCTGTTTCTTCTACGCTATTTTATTTTTAAGGGGTTTTTGCTTTTAGACCCATTTGTTTACTCCCATTTATTTTTAAACCCAAGTACTATTATTTGTATCTTTAAGCCCAATTCACCTTTTGTATTTATCTTTAAACCCAAAATCATTTATTTTTATATTTTGAAGATTGGGTTTAAAAATAAATACAAAATGTGAATTGGGCTTAAAGATACAAATAATAGTACATGGATTTAAAAATAAATGGGAGTAAACAAATGGGTCTAAAAGCAAAAACCCCTATTTTTAAATCTTTTAGTGAAAAATTAAAACTTTTATGTTTTCCCTTTTTTTTTTAACATTAATTTTTATGTAGGAAAAAAAAGCCTTTTTCTTGCCGATACTGGAAATATTTTCATGTTCGTCTTGAGTTTTTAACAGCTTCCTTTAATATATATTAAGCGCATTTAGGATTCCTATTCTTAAAATTTCTGATGTATATTTTCTATTCTTGTTCATTATTCAGACAGACATTGGTGCTGCTTTTTATTTCCTTTTTCTATTTGTTTAACTGAAATTGGAATTTTTTTTCTTCCTTTCTGTTTTCTTTCCTTTTACTGAAACTGGATATTCCTCTTTCTGTCAACTTCTTCTAATGCTTTGCCGATACTGGAAATTATTAGCGTATGTTTTTAGTTGTTTCGTTAATTTAAAATCTTCAGACAGTAGTTTCATTTACTTTTTCATTAGTGTATTGGAGTTTTCCTTCTTCTCTCAGGGTTTTTTGACCTCTGTTCTTTATTTTTAACAATCACCTTTTCGAAGAAACACTCTATTTCTTTCATTTAAATTGGATGAATATTTTGGTTTTTTTATTGTCTCGTTTTTAATTATTTGAAATACACTGACCTAACGGTTCCTTTATCCCGTTAGGAATTTCACCCCGGCGCTTTGATCGCATAACGGAACGGGAGGGAGAAACCCGTCACAAATTCAGCCGCAGGCTTCTCGAGCGAGGTAAATACTCATCCTACGGCCATAAGTTCTCTTATAATACACGTGTCGAAAACGTAGGAGGTTCAACGTTCTAGTGAACTTCGGTCTTAGTTTAGTCTATGTGGCTCAGAAGCTTCTTTGCCCTGGCCCGTGGGGACCACGTGAGCATCAGGTGCAGGATAGTACACTGCGGTTGCCTGCAACTCCAACGACCCTGGGAATTTAACCTCTGGCCCTTTTCGTTCCTATTACCGTTTTGGTCACCGGCCAGTTAGGTTAACCTCAGAAGGGATGTGAGCGTTAGGATGTCATCGTTTTTTAGTTTTTTTATGGTGATTTTATCAAAAATAAAATAATATGTGTTTAGAAACCATGATGCTTTTGTTAGGTTTCAACATGAAAACCTAAAACACCATACTTATTTCAAAATACCAAAAAAAAAAAAGTTTTAAGTTTGGTGTATTTGTTTTGAGTTTGAGGGGGATAGCTTATATAATAATATAATAATAATACATTAAATATTAATATTTAACATGATGACAATGTATTATATAATACTCTAGTTATTATAATATAATAATAAAATAAAATAAATTATTAAAAACAGTATATATTAATTTATTAATAATACTATACTACATAGTATAATAACTATTATGAATACTATACTACATAGTAGAATAACTATTATATTATATAAATAAATAAAATCATATTATTAGTAATTTAATAAATTAAATATAATATATTAATTATTACTAGATGTTATACGATAGAATATTTAATAATAAAGTAGTAACTCCTCACAAAAATTAATAAAATAATATATTAAAATGTATGTATTTAACATAGTAATAATATTTTATATAATAAAAAATAAAATGTATCATGATAAAATAATAATAGCATAGTAATAACAGAATAACAGTACGTAGTATATTATATATATTAGACGTCATATACTTTTGATAAATATAATGTAATACATAATGAATATTAATATACTATAAAATAAATAATAATATAGTACTAATATGTTATACAATAATATCATTTATTAGTAATAAAATGAAAAATTAGTGATAATTATTAAAATAATCATAATATAATAATATTAAGTTATATTATAAAATATTAATTCATTTTAAATTTTTATTATAAATAATATTAATAATATATTAATTATTATCTCCAATATTATATACTAATGTATAATAATATAACTTCTCACAAAATAATAATAATATATCATATTTATTATAGAATAATAATAATACATTCTCGTAATAATATGATAATAATATACAAGATAATAATATATTCTAGGGCTTTTTGTTTTTAGGTCCATTTGTTTACTTAGCTTTATCTTTAAACCCAAGAATTATTAGTTGTATCTTTAAACCCAACTTTCTTTTTGTATTTATCTTTAAACCCAATTCTCTTATATAGGGGGACCCACATATGAGAGTATTATATTTTAAAATTGGGTTTAAAGATAAATACAAAAAGAAAGTTAGGTTTAAAGATACACCTAATAATTTTTGGATTTAAAGATAAAGCTAGGAAAACAAATGAACCTAAAAACAAAAAACCCTATATTCTAATAACGATGTAAAATTACATTACGTTGTACCAATATCCTTCCCAATATCTTCCGCCGCCTCCGCTTCGACGACTGCCTCGTCAACGACGGCCGTGCCATTGCTGGCGGCATGTCCGTGTCGTTTCAGTATGCTAATACCTACCCCTTTGCGCTCTACGTGTCCAACGCTACTTGTGTTGAGTCAAAGAACAAACTTAACTGATTCTTGATCTCTCTCGCTGGCTGGCTATTTTTTTTTGATGCGAGGGACGACCGGCTGTAGCTAGTTTACTCTATATCCCTTATATACATAGGAATAGCTTTACATAGAAATGGACGGCGTTGAACTTGGTTTTAGTTATTTTTTGTGGGCTAATTATTGCTCTTTATGTTGGGCTTGGTGATTTTATTTTGATCAAAGGTACCGTCTTTGTAGTTTTGCTCCGTAGAGAGCACTGTCCCCTGAATATCTCTGATATATATTTTTTTCATTACAGTACGAATAAAGTTATCTATTAATCTTTTACTTATATTTGTCACTTAAAAATGTCATTTTTTTCATTACAGTACGAATAAAGTTATCTATTAATCTTTTACTTATATTTGTCACTTAAAAATGTCTTGTGAATATTGAACGTGTTGGCTGTAGAATCTATTAATCTTTTACTTATATTTGTCACTTAAAAATGTCTTGTGAATATTGAACGTGTTGGCTGTAGACTTTACGTAACTTCATTATGACGATGATATACAAAAAGTATATTGCCCTCTCTGTATATAGATTCCGTTATGGGTGTTGATATATACAATTTCTTTAACACATGCAGATGCTGAGAGCGTAGAAGTGGATAATCCTCTATAATACGAAGATGATCCGAAACCAACCATTAATTTAAGGATACTATTACGTACGTTTGCTGATCCACTTGCATAATTTTTTGACTCTAGGATTCCAACCCAAGATTATCCCTTGTGTTTTACGATATTAACACAAAAAAAAAAGTATCGCTATATATAAAACTAACTTACATAGTTAATATAATGGTACCGCATGTATATGTAAATATTATGATGCATTAATATTATACATTATATTATACATTAAAGCTTAATTGATGGTTAGATTGAAATAAGTGATTACTATTTATGGAGATAGTTAAAACAAAATGCGGATCATCGTTTTGAGAAAATCTTTTGAGAACTACTACCATAATTCCCAAACGAAGTCTTTGATATAATAGCGACACTGACTTAGCCGTACGTCATTAGCCTGCCTTTGCAGCTGCCTGTAGTTTTCATTGAACAGTGATTCCAAAATGAAACGCTTTCTTATTGGTCGGCTTCTTTGCCGGTGCCATTTTGTTGTGACGTGGCAGAATACTGTTGGAGTTGGTGTGGAAATGGGGGTGTGCATGCTTTGGCTCTGTGGGTAGATGTATCACGTACGCACACGTCATGGGTCCGCCTTCGATCGGAGGGTACTGATGATGATGCGCCATTTCAGTGTAGACACTTTGTGCGAGAATCCATGGATTGATCTTTGGTCTAATGTTGGTAGCTAGGGTAGTAGCGTTTGATTGTGCAACTGTGGATATCATATAGGATTAGGATCTTGCTCTAGACTATGTACACATTACATCACTTTCTAGGGTCCCAATAGGGCTGTCCATCCGGGCCGGCCCGGCCCGGCCCGGCCCGGGAAACCGGGCCCAGGCCGGGCAAAACCCAAGCCCGGACCCGGGCCCGGGTGGTCCGGGCCCGGGCCCGGACCTGAGCGGGCCGGACACCGGGCCGGCCCGGTTTGATTTTTTTTAAGAATTTTTTTTTTGTTTTTTTTTATTTTTTTAAAATTTTAACAAAACCATAAATCATAAATTATTTTAACAAAACCATAAATCATAAATTATTTTAACAAAATCATAAATCATAAATTATTATAAAAAATGTCATAAATGTAATTAATAACTTGAAATGAAATGACATAAATTACAAGTACAAAAATGATAAAAATAACTTCTTTATTAATAATCGGTAAATCCTTTACAAGTATAAATTTATTTCGAAATTCGTCGCATCACAATAGATGAGTACATCCCAACTAGGTTGGCACCTACTCACCCATATCACTATCATTTGCAACTTTTTTCGAAATAATTTAATTCAAATTTAAAGCTAAGAAATAAAAATTACAATTTTATGAATATTATCTAATCATTATATCTATCTGCTAGTCCCAACTCTTCAAATTTATCTTCAATCATAGCAATCCGTTCGATGCCTTGTGTTCGCTTCTCGTATCTCCACCAATCCTGTAAGCACATCACCGCTTGTACAGTATACGGATCTAAGCATGTCCTGTGGTCGTCGATCAAACGTCCTGCTGTGCTGAAAGCGGATTCCGAGGCTACAGTCGAAACCTGCACTGATAGTAAGTCACGAACCATGGTGGAAAGTATAGGATATGAAACTGATCCATATACTTTCCACCATTGCAAAATATCTAAAGCATTTCCTTGACATCTAACTAAAGAAGCAGAAAAATATTCATCTATTTCAGAAACATCTAATCCTGATGAAGTTCCAGATCCACCAGTTAGTTCAGCTACCATTGCATACCTATCAAAACTTACACTTTTACCTCGACCTGTGCTCGAAGCTGAAGGTGCCGAAGCTGAAGACTGTTGTGTAGCTACACCATATCTAGCTGCATACTCATCATATAAGGTTTGAAAATAATTTCTAATAGCTAAATAATGAGTAGTAGCAGTAAGGGTGGATCCATCATCTAAGTCTATAATCTGTCCACCATACAATGATTGTAACAAACTTCGAAGGCCAATTTCCTTCAAGCATGGATCAATAAGAACACCAATACCAAAAATATGAGGAATAGGCCTAAAATACTTATTAAATTTACTCTCCATTTCAAAAATTATACTTCCAAAAATATCATCCATACGATATTTTGTAAAATTTTTTTGAATATTTAAAATTTGTAAAGCAGCTAAAGTAATAGTTGGATAATAACAACCAGATAATAACATAGTAGCATCATAAAAAACTTGTAACATCTCATTTAATTTACATATAACTGTCCATTCATCTTCAGTTATTCCATAAGCACTACCAGAGCTAGAACTAGAAGCATAAAAATTTATAAAATCATTTATAATTTCTTTATATTCTATTGCTACAGATAACATTGCATAGGTGGAATTCCACCTATGGTCAACATCTTTTGGAATTAGTCTAGGCTTATAATTTTTTCTTTTACAACATTGTTTCCATCTTTTAATTCTCATTTCAGAAGCATTATGCATATTAGTAACTGTTCTAACTTTTTCTATCATGGGTTTAATTTCAGAAAATGCACTTTGAACAATTAAATTTAAAATATGACAGATACATCTAACATGAAAAAGCTCACCATGAC